GGATCCGTACCATCACTGACATCCCAAGCTAACAAGGAGTTACACTCCCGGGTCAGTGAGAAACAGCAAGCTGCAAAGAAGTACGCAGATGCAAAACGCGGGGCAAGAGTGCCAAAGATCAAGGAAGGCAGCTTGGTGAGAGTACGGAAACCATTTCATGTGAAGAAAGGCTTGTCTAAGTTTCAGGATCCAACCAGAGTTATACGGAGAGCGGGTTCACATTCGTATGTCCTAGAGGATGGCCGTACATGGAATGCTTCTCATCTGTCTCTTATCCCGACAACATCAGAGCCAACTCTGTGCTCGCCTGACCCCATACAACAACAGCAACCAGTAGGTCCACAGAGGCCTGCGAGGATCAGAAAGAAACCAGCTTGGCTGGAGGACTTTGAACATTGAATGTTCATCTATGGCCTTTGGGGGGCAGTTGGGATAAATGTTAAAAGAAAAAGAAAAGAAGGCTGTGTTATTGTAATGTTCTGGTCTTAATGCATAAGTGTTACAGGAAGTGAAAAAAGGTGGTTGTCATGTATGACATAGAAGTTTGTTAAACATTCAGGACTATATTTGTTTTCAAGGCTTAAGTAGTAAGAATGAGAAAAGTATATAAGCCTTGGGTGTTCAGTCAAGTTATTTGAGTACCCTGACAGGTTGGAATGTGTCTGGAAAGCTAATTCTGATGAGTTCTGTTATAACTGCATTTCTTCTGTTACCCTGAGATCTTTCTAAACAAGGGGGAAATATGTTGTGTTCTTAGATGTAGTTCCTGTATCTGACCAAAAGGTGGCACTGTGGTGTTTGCGATGCGAAGAAGAAAAGGCGTAGAATTAGGGATGCACCGATCAGGTTTTTTGCTGCCGATCACCGATACCGATATCAAAGAATGCTGATCACCGATACCGATCACGTGGATTGGCCAGAAATTTTCTACAACATTATGAGGAGTGCTACAAACTACATAACCTGGGAATAAAGGCAATGTAACCTAATCTAAAATGGTCTGTATTAGGGTTGTCACGGTGTGAAAATTTAACCTCACGGTTATTGTGACCAAAATTACCACGGTTTTCGGTATTATCGCGGTATTTTTTTTAAACGTGCTACATTTTCACACAATTAAATAAACCCTGTATGTCAGGAAATATTGTCCTCAGTTTGTGTCTAAATTTTGCCTAAAATGTGTTATTTTGTAATTATGTTGTTTATTTGTTTACATTTTTTCCCCTTTAGTCTTTAAAATACCAATATTTGCCCATAACTTCTTATTTTATGTCTGTTTGATGTCATCATTTAAAAATATTAGATCAGATGATACTTAGTACTCAAGTAGCCTTCTAATCAGATACTTTTTTACCCTTACTTGAGCAATCCGTATATCAGGAAAATATTGTCCTCGGTTTGTGTCCTTCCAGTGAGCTTTGCAGATTTGGGAAAATGTCATCAGGCAGTAATCATTGTTAAATTCACAATTATTCTCGGGGAGAGACCAGCTCTTATCTATCGCGTCATACCCCTGTCAAAACCCGTGCACGCGCATTGGGTCCACAGCGCGCGTGTGAACGGGACTCGCGAGCGAAAATATACATGGCAGCGCGCGTGTGAACGGGACTCGCGAGCGGAAATATACATGGCGAGAGGTCATTTGTGCACTGAGAGGGAGCAAACTGTGTCTGTGAGCGCACAAGGATGTGCACAAGTGACAAACCTGCGTGCGCGCGTTGTCAACGAGCACACGGCAGAGGAAAACGTGCGCGCGCGGCAGCCTCTGTGCGCGCTCGGCAGCCTCTCTGCGCGCTCGGTTTCTGACTCCTGCTCGCTCGGCTGTAAGGGTTTTGGCACCCTGGAGGCGTGGCCTGTGGCAGATCTCCTCTGTCCTCTGGTTAGTGTACCCCGCACTTTACCCTCTACCTATCTATATAAAAAAGTCTACTAGTCAAGTAGTTGCTGGCATAGCTCAGTTGGAAGAGCGGGTGACTCTCGCCCCGGAGGATCCAGGTTCGAGGCCGGGCAAGGAAAATGCAGTAGATGTCATGTTAATTTTTCTTAATTTCAGGTATTTTACAGTTGTGACCGTTCAACTGTCATTAAACGTCCGAATGTTTGCTGGGCAGTGTTTTAAAAAGTGCACATAAGCTAGATGGTTTTAACCATATAAAATTACATTTTTTGTGATACTGGAAAAATACATACTGAAATAAAACTACTGATTGAAAACTTTATGACTGTGGTTGTACAATATATGACTCACTAATACACTGCAAACTCCCTTAGAGTGGGGCTTCCAGAGAGAGAGAGAGAGAGAAAGAGAGAGAGAGAGAGAGACAGAGAGAGAGACAGAGAGAGAAAAGTTCTTGCCTCATTAATGAATTGTTTATTTTTTTCAGTATTTAATTGACAAATTATCCTTTCAAATAATTAATTGATGAGTTACATAATTGTCCATTTAGAATTGTTGAATGGACTGAGTCAAGTTTGGTGCACTTTATATATTTCAAAACATGTTTTTTTTTTAATTTTAATGATGCATATAAATAATTTAAATGTTAATTTAATGAAATATTTCTATTTTTTCATTACCTCACCCTTGTTTTGACAAAAACGGGACCTTGCTGGATAATATCATGGAGAAACTATTTGTTCACAGTACATGGCTCAGTGAGGATCTGTGTAAAGGAGGAGATACTCAGAAATCTGTCTGCAGATTGTTACAACCCAGACTGGAAGTGGTGGGCTGTAATAAGAAAGGAGACCAAACAGAGGAGTGGGGGTTCAACAACTGATTTATTTAACAAAAGTAAGGATTTACTAAAGCAAGTTAGTGAACAGAAAATGGCCAGTGAGGACTCTCCGCCACACAGGAGAGACCCAGTGAAAGCAGAAAAACAGTAGGCTTTGTAGGCAGCACCACACCCTGAGCCCAGGTGCCTCCAAGGCTGCTTAACCAGCTGCCTACAACAGAAGAAAAACACAATTAAACACAAATGAAAACCCAATGAGATGGTGGGGGCATCACAACACGTTCAGGACTACCCAAACACCAGTAATTCTTGACTGCACTGATCTGAGGTGTCAATGGCCATATTCCCCTCTCTTCCAGAGTCATATATTTTCCTCAAGTTCAACTGCACTCTGAAGAGGCTCATTTGGATTGTGCCACATAGGCCAGTGACCTTTGTCTCAGCACTGTATGCTGGAACTATCAGCGACCAACCTGGGAATCTGGTGTGTTGAAAATGCTACAACTAGAGATGGTCATCTTGGTAGACAGGGGTTTCTTCATTGATGACATTGTGCCCTGCAAAGTGTACAGGCCAGCTTTCCTTTCTGGCAAACCTCAAATGTCTGCATGTAAAGTTATAGAAACAGAAGCCATAACATCTCTGAGTGCATGTGGAGCGCTCCATTCATCTGGTCCAAGAACACAAGCATTTTGATTGTTATTCCCCTCCTTGCATTTGTAAACAATCAGCTATATGCTGTGGTTTTTCTCCTTACCAACTTTTAAAATAGCCCACTAGTGAAGGCCTGGGCAAAGAAGCCTGATGTCTGAGAACCTCAACATATGTACGGCAACCACACTGTATATTTACACACTTTCATAAAGAAACTGCATATCAAGCTTTCATTCAGATGACCTTCAACAGTGCTGCACCCTGCTGAGGGACATCCGAGTAAAACCTTGAGATGGCCATTTTCTGTTCACTAACTTGCTTTAGTAAATCCTTACTTTTGTTAAATAAATCAGTTGTTGAACCCCCACTCCTCTGTTTGGTCTCCTTTCTTATTACAGCCCGCCACTTCCAGTCTGGGTTGTAACAATCTGCAGACAGATTTCTGAGTATCTCCTCCTTTGGTACACAGATCCTTACGGAGCCATGTACTGTGAACAAATAGTTTCTCCATGATATTATCCAGCAAGGTCCCGTTTTTGTCAAAACAAGGGTGAGGTAATGAAAAAATAGAAATATTTCATTAAATTAACATTTAAATTATTTATATGCATCATTAAAATAAAAAAAAAAACATGTTTTGAAATATATAAAGTGCACCAAACTTGACTCAGTCCATTCAACAATTCTAAATGGACAATTATGTAACTCATCAATTAATTATTTGAAAGGATAATTTGTCAATTAAATACTGAAAAAAATAAACAATTCATTAATGAGGCAAGAACTTTTCTCTCTCTGTCTCTCTCTCTGTCTCTCTCTCTCTCTCTCTTTCTCTCTCTCTCTCTCTCTGGAAGCCCCACTCTAAGGGAGTTTGCAGTGTATTAGTGAGTCATATATTGTACAACCACAGTCATAAAGTTTTCAATCAGTAGTTTTATTTCAGTATGTATTTTTCCAGTATCACAAAAAATGTAATTTTATATGGTTAAAACCATCTAGCTTATGTGCACTTTTTAAAACACTGCCCAGCAAACATTCGGACGTTTAATGACAGTTGAACGGTCACAACTGTAAAATACCTGAAATTAAGAAAAATTAACATGACATCTACTGCATTTTCCTTGCCCGGCCTCGAACCTGGATCCTCCGGGGCGAGAGTCACCCGCTCTTCCAACTGAGCTATGCCAGCGACTACTTGACTAGCAGACTTTTTTATATAGATAGGTAGAGGGTAAAGTGCGGGGTACACTAACCAATCAGAGGACAGAGAAGATCTGCCACAGGCCACGCCTCCAGAGTGCCAAAACCCTTACAGCCGAGCGAGCAGGAGTCAGAAACCGAGCGCGCAGAGAGGCTGCCGAGCGCGCACAGAGGCTGCCGCGCGCGCACGTTTTCCTCTGCCGTGTGCTCGTTGACAACGCGCGCACGCAGGTTTGTCACTTGTGCACATCCTTGTGCGCTCACAGACACAGTTTGATCCCTCTCAGTGCACAAATGACCTCTCGCCATGTATATTCCCGCTCGCGAGTCCCGTTCACACGCGCGCTGTGGACCCAATGCGCGTGCACGGGTTGTGGCACGCTTTAAACGCCATACTTATCTGCCCCTGAGAGCCCCGTAATGCATAGCGTCATTTCAACATGGCGGTGTCCGCAACACGGTTTATATGCAGGTAGCGGCGCTGCGGCTGCTTTATATAGCGACTCGTTGCATTCTCCCTCAACCCAAATCCTCGGATCACGCATTTTAGCTAAAACGCTAACGTTAGCTTGCCTTGCGTTGACTGTAGAGTTGTGGGTGATGGTCACGCAGATGTGTCATGAGATTTGAAGCGTTGCTGCCTTTCACAGACACTTTTTCGGCTCGTGCTGCAAACAGGATAGCCGTCCGTCTTCTATAAACTCCCTCGGCATTCTTCAAATATCTAAAATATGCCCGTACTTCCGACTTTGTCTTCTTTGAGGGATAATAAATGTCCTCCTGAGCTCTGCCGTCTCCTCCTTTGACCATTATTTCAGCTTTAGCTTCAAGAAAGTTTTGTTGTAAACAAAGCGTGCATGTGCCGCCGGCAACTTCAGCCGATGATACGGTGGCTGGTAAGGGTCACCGCGCCTACACCGCAGCCACGGTATACCCACCAAGATAATATAGTTTTTTAAAAAACAAGACGGTTATTATTATTGTCAACTTTTATTTTTTTTTACCGGGGTTTACCGCTACACTGGTTACCGTGACAACCCTACCTGATCGGTCTGCTTTGATCTATTTTGAAAATTCCGATCAAAACCGATAGGGGCGCTATCGGCCGATTACGATCAAATGCCGATCCATCGGTGCATCCCTACGTAGAATAAAGGATGATGGTGTTCTGAGACTCGAGTCTACGCTGCCTGTTTTTCCTATTTCTGCCTGAGCTAGCTGGAATATAACATGATCTTTGCCTCAAAAACACACTTGGTGTGTGTGTGTGTGTGTGTGTGTGTGTGTGTGTGTGTGTGTGTGTGTGTGTGTGTGTGTGTGTGTGTGTGTGTGTGTCCAGGATCCGTTTTTTACATCACTTAGTCGATGATCTCTGTTCCTGTTCTTTTCAGCGCCGGCATTCCAGACAGGATGAAGACAACATTCCCATCAGATCTCCTAAATGTTAACAGCTTTTAACATCAACTGATCATCAGTTCACAGAAAATGGAGGAAAAAGAGTCTCATTTAAACATTTGTCATCATGATCCAGTCAGTCTCTTTCTGCACAAACTGCTGCTTCAGCCTCTGAGGATCATCAGGACTCAGCTCATCTTCTCTCCTGGTCAGAGGTCATCATGACTCCTCCCACCTGTAGAGAGAAGAAGAGAGGAGGTGACTTCCTGTTTCCAGACTCTCTCCATCAGCTGTCAGTCAGTGATGCAGCACATCCTCCATCAGCAGCAGCTTCCTTTCAGCTCTCATGTTAACGTGTTGGAGTGAAGCTCACACACCTGCAGACTTTTAGCATCAAGTGTGTTTCCTCTGCAGACGTGAGTCCAGTCCACAGTGGAAACAAACAGCTGAGAGTCCTGAAGGCTTCGTCACTGCACAAACACTAGTGGTGATTTACTGCTGTTACATGTCAGCTGCTGCTCCATTTAAACACACACTCTCATCTGCTTCTGACACATCAGCTGACTCTGAAACACGGAGGCTGTCCCGGGACACATCTGGATCAGACTAATGACAGAAGGACAGCTGGACAGATGTGCTGAGTGGACCAGCAGATGTTCTGCTCTGTAGAAAGACCACATGGCTCCTAAATGGAAGCCTGCTTTCTGACATTAGAGCCAGTGATTTACAGGCTGCAGTCAGACTGATCTCAGAGCTGTGACAAAGATCAAAGTGATCAGCTGTTTCCTGTTGAAATGAGAGAACCAACAGTCTGAGATCAGATCTGATGGAGACACTTTGATGAATGAGGACCACTGTCTCTATACATGTTGAAGGCCGTCAGCTGGAATCCAGCTTGATCTCCTGGAGACATGAACACAACAACACTCATCTTCACACCAACACAACAAGCTTCTGGCGCTTCTGATTGGCTGATTGTTGTCCAATCATCAAGCCTGTCACCATTCTCCTCTCACAGCTGGACTGAGGAAAGCAGCCACTGGGAAGCTGCAGCTTTACTGGAAACATTAGATATTTGCTTTGATCCTAACTGGGTTTAGTCCAGTCCTGCTGACAGCAGCCTGGACTCCACCCAGATACTGACCTCAGAGTCTGCAGGCTGTAGTCTGGACTCTCCACTAGATCCAACAGCTGTTTAACATCTGGAGCCTCCAGGTTGTTCCAGCTCAGGTCCAGTTCTGTCAGATGGGACGGGTTGGACTTCAGAGCTGAGACCAGAGAAGAACAGCTGATCTCCGACAACCTGCACCTCCTCAACCTGAATAAAGAATAAAAGCAGTGAGCTGAAGCCAACAGGATGCAGGTTAAAACAGTCCAACAGAACCAGTTAAAGAGTTCTGATTAATAATTATGACATCATGCTGCTGCTTCAGTAAAGACAGGGTGACTTCAGCTCTTAACTCCGTCAGCTCCACCAGCAGCTCCATCAATACAAACTCACAGGGCCGTGCAGAGACCTTTGAAGGGGCGGGTGCTGAAAGTTAAAAAAGGGGCACATATGGAGCAAAGTCTTTAAACAGATTCACGATCCAACAAGTTAAAAATTTCAGATGAGACTCTTGGTTTCAAACAACATGATGTAAACTAGGAAAAATATGTAATTAATTAAGGTAAAGTCATTTCATTAACAATTGTTTTAGTTTTAAAGCTGACTTATGCTACAACCATATTTTTGCCCCAGATCTGAATCCAAGTTGTTTGATTTTTGATTATCTTCCAATACCGAGTCCTGTTTTGATACCAGGTGGACATGTAATGCATTAAAAAGAAGAAAAGAAATGGAGAAAGTCCCAGAGTCATCATCGCATACTGGTGATCTCATTGGAGGGGAGTGGTGAGATGCAGCAATGGCTGTGCTCGGGAACTATTTGGTGGTTTTACCCCCAATCCAACCCCCTAAAGCTGAGTGTCAAGCAGGGAGGGATTGGGACCCATTTTTTAAGTCTTTGATACGACCCGACCGAGAATCGAACCTGATCTCACAGTCCCAGGGAGGACACTACCACGAGGCCACTGAGCTGGTCCCAAATTGTCCTTCTATCTGTATTCGTATTCAAAATTGACTAGAGACAGCTCATGTAAGAGGTGGTAAAATATGAATAAAATAAAATAAGCCAAATAAATGCAACCCACAGAAAGTTATCCAGCGTGATCTACAGCTATGGTAGCTGAGATCTTTTCCTGTCTGTAGGAAATTCCTGATCCAATTCCATGATCTCACTCTGAACTTAACACTAAACATGAGAGCTCTGCTGTCATTTCATACCATATCCAGAATACTGCACATACTATGGCCATAACTTTGCTTCATGGTGCTGATCCAGAATATTTACCTCCTTATTTATTTCTAGTGTTATAATAACACAATAGTCAACAATAAAAAACATCATAAAGTAATAAAACATATGCGGTTATGCTCACATTCACTTTTAGCATCTCTTGATGGGCAGCAGAACATTTATTACATGTTTACAGTTTTAGTCCATTGCTTGAACACACTTTGCAAAACTTGGCTCATGGTGCCAAAACTCTACACACAAGGAAGTACGGAAGAACACTGGGAAATAAACCATTCACATCTATGCCAGATACAAACTCTGCCATCAAAACTGAACAATCCTTTGTCAAAACCTCACTTTGGTGACTAAATGATGCCCACTTCCACATGTCAATACACTCTCATATCTGCGGCAACACACTAGTCTACTTTAAATAAAACACTGCAGTCTTTCACTTGTACTGTATTTATTCAGTTACAATTCCAGATGTTTCTCATAATTCCAAAAATAAAATACTGAAATCAACATTACTGCAATTACATTACAGTAGTGAAATTCATATGACAGGAAATTCAGTTACTGTAAAGCAAAAATGAAACAAACTGAACTTCACACAAAAGAAGTTACATGTATGGATCCTGCCGTCTGTCGGGGTCGGGCCACAGGACCTCGTCCACATCGCAAGCAATATCTTCTCCGGCTAAACATCGGGGGAAAAAATCCCCTTGTGTGTCTAATCCATCCCTGAACTGACCTGATTTCAATACCTCCGCAGGCCTGTTCCATTGCTTGTGAAAGTGGCATTCGGGCGTGGGGTTGGCGGTCATAGACGCGCCATCTCCATGCTGAAAAGAACTCCTCTATAGGATTCAAAAATGGGGAGTAAGGGGGCAAGTACACCACTTCAGATCCTTCATGATGAGTAAACCAGTCTTGGACCAGAGCAGCCCGGTGGAAACTAACATTATTCCACACAACAACAAACCTGGGCTGCTCTGGTCTATTCTGTATGACGATGTCATGTAGACCATCAAGAAATGTGAGTATTTCCTGTGAATTGTAGGGCCCCAATTTGGCATGACGGTGCAGTAGCCCTTGAAGGCTAATGGCAGCACACAATGTAATATTTCCTCCACGTTGCCCAGGGACGTGCACAATTGCCCTTCGGCCAATAAGATTACACCCCCGTCGTCTGTTTTTTGTCAGATTGAATCCAGCCTCATCGATGTAAATACACTCATGAGGCTGAGCAGCTCCATCCATGGCGAGCATTCTCTGCAAGAAAAAGTACATATTACTGTACTGTACAGTACTGTATGGATGACATTACTCAAAGTACACAACTACACTGATACAGAATTGAACCACCTCATCACACAGGGGCGGTTTAGCTTTCTGAATATACAGTGTCAATGTGGTACTGATCCAATGGTACAGACTCAGCTATTTGACTGCTCCTCTTTTGTATTGTAAATGTAGAGGACTAAAACACTTACCTGTACGTATTCACGTCGAAGTTCCTTCACTCTGGCATTGTTCCTTTGAAATGGAACCCTGTACAGTTGTTTCATTGTAATATGGTGCTTTGTCAAGATGCGTCTAATGGTGGTAATGCATACTGTATTTATATTGCCAAAACTCTGTCTGTCTGCAATTATGTGACTCTGTAGCCGGTGGAGACGGATCGCATTATTTGCCCTGACCATGTCCACTAATGCAAGTTCTTGTTGTTCAGTAAATAGGCGTTGACGTCGACCGCCAGTAGGTCTTCTGATCATTCTGTAGAAAACAATGCAACCAGTAATTGGAATCGTTTTGTTCTATTTTTCAGCACTATACAAACTGTATTTTACTGTATTTACTGTACTTGTATTACAGTACTGTAAAACATCTGAAGACATGATTATATGTGTCACAACACAAGGAATCACCCTTCAGTACAGAACTGGTGTAACAGTACATGTACGTTACATATACATGTAAGATGAGACAGTACTGTAAATACTAAAGCTACATTACTGTAGTAGAGGAATTGAAGACATACCTGTTTTCCTGTCTGAATATCCTTATGATGGATGCGACCGTGAAACGGCTAAGATTGGGGTGGACTCTCTGTCCAGCTTCCCTCATGGTCAGACCATGGTTTATGACATGGTCCACCACAGTTGCCCTAATGTCATCAGAAATTATGGTCCTTGCACGGCCTCTTCGTCCACGTCCTCCTCTTGCTCTGCCTCTAGCAGAATCTTACATTTAGTAAATAGTTGAGTGTTAAATAAAAACAAGTTTGGCAGTAATCAGTCCCTCATGTCACCATCTACAGGAACTTCTGGAACACCTGACTAAGGTGGATTTTCTGCGTGACGTTTCCATCATTTTATAAAAACTACTGATGCAGATGATTAGTTATCTCCGCCGTGCCCTTCTCCGCTCTCCCGTCATGGTTCGCTCTGTTTCCTGTGATGCTGAAAAGCTGGTTTCCCTCTAATAGCGATTTTCAGAGTAAAGTGTAATACCTTGTTAGAAAGCTTGTTTTTGTTGTGTGGTGCGGTGAGTACTCCTCATCTCTATAACATCTTTGAGCTCTTCATTTCAGGAGAGGGAGCTCACCAGCTGCAGGGTATTAGCAATCAGCGGCAGCTGCAGCTTCTCAGGTCATCCGCAGCAGAGCTCTATTTAAGAGGAGAGGGAACCACTACACAGCGCTGGATGATTAACTACTCATGGTAGTATTTTGGCCACTCGTTCTAGGTTGCTTGGTTTCTAAGTAGATAATTGGCTTGGAGAATTTCTTGGATTATTCTTGGACTCTTGTGTTGGATTTTTTTGGACTCAAGTTTTGTATCTTCTCTCCAGGATTACTGGACAATCTTCCCTGACGCTCTGGGTTTGTTGGATATTGTTCTCCATCCGAGAAGCAGAACCTTACTGGATTACTCACCTGGAAAGAACCATAACCTTCCTGGACTTCACGGTTCGCCTCTCCTCTTATTCCTCTGCCACCCTGCCTGGCTCCCTCTCCTGGACTCACCCCGTCACTCCACCTGCCCTCCTCGACCTCCTCCACCTGCAGAACTTGGACTCTCTCTGGCTCCAACTACTCTGGGTTTATTCCAGGGGCACCTTTTGTTAGATTCCTTAAATAAATCATTGTTTTGAACTTTCCCCCCCGTCTTGTGATGACTCTTCATGTCGTGGGTTAAACACATTCCCGGGAACATGACAGTTTTGTGTGCTTTTAGAAACCGTTGGAATTGTTTTAATCCGACCAGCCATTCAGACGTTATCACGCGGAGAATCTCTCGTGTCCTCTTTTCTGTCTCAGACATGCTGACTCTGCTCCACACGCTTCAGTAAAGTTGGCAAGATATTCACAGATTCGACTTTTGCGGCTCAATACCTTCTGAACAGAGGAGTATTTAGAAACATAACACACCTCTTTGGTATCGTGGCAAGGTAGTGAGCACGCTAAAACTTTGTTTCTTAAAAAAAAGTTCTCTGTCGTGCTCTGCTCCCGACCATCGCTCATGACACGTTACATTGATATTGGCCGACGGAGCAAAACGCGCTCAGGGACGTCAGCAAATAACACCAGAAAGGTTTGATAAACTATGTAAAAAAAAAAAAGTCTGCAACTACACACTGCAGTGTGACCAAATTCACAAAATACAACTCTGCACACACGCTCATCACACAAAACTATTTAGTTTAATCCAGGTATGCAGTTTAGATTTAGTGTTAATATAAATTCCAAAAGCTCCGCATTTGAAACTATAGTGACACCAATTTCACACAGAAAATCACAACTTTGATGCTGATCATATTACACACTTTAAGTTTAGAGAAAATACTACACTTGTTTTCCCCTCTGACCTTTGTTTTAAAACAAAATAATTAAATAACTCTTATACTGTAGACCAGGGGCGTTGTAAGGCGGTGAAAGATTAGGAAGATTCTAAGGGCCCACAGCTGTCAGGGG